ACTCAATAGATAATTCAATTTCCCTATCAGGTAGTAACCTTGGCAATTCCTCATAAAATATGTCAGAAAATTCTCGGATGACCGAAATGGTGTCCAAGTTTATCTTTTCCTTTCTATCTACTTTAACATAGGCAAGAAAGCCTTGACATCATTTTCGAAGAAGACGATTAGCTGGAATTGAGGAGATTAAAAATGGTGAAGAGGCTTCCTTGATACCTTCGAGATAAAATACTAGTTGATTCGGAATACAAAAAGTAACTATTTTCTTGTAATAATCAATACTTGCATGGTATGAAGAGAGCCAATCCATGCCTAAGATCATATCAAAATCTTGAATTTATAGGAGTATTAAATCCACTAACATTTCCTTTTCTTCTATCCTTATCACACAATACTTGTATACTAGATTGGTATTAATTGAATTCCCCGTAGGTGTGGCTACCTCTAGAATGTATTCCAATTATTCTGGTTCTACCCTTATGTGACATGCAAAGTGTGGTGACACAAATAAATGAGTAGATCCAAGATCAATCAAAACACGAGCTACTTCTTGAAAGATAGTAAGACTACTTTGGATCACTGATTTTGAGGCCTGAGCATCTTGCTGGGTAATTACAAAGACTATCCCCTTCGTCTAAGGTTTCTGGGCTGCCTCTTCAAGTTTCGATTGTTGTTGCATTTTCAAGGCAGGACAATCTTTGATCTTGTGCCTCAACTTCCCATATTGGAAACAAGCTCTGATTTCCCAATAACAGGGTTTCATCCCATGTCTCTTCCCACAATTTTTACAAGGCTCTAGTGGGCTTTGAAATGGCACCGGCCTTAGCCTTTTGTTCGCTCATTCAGAGTGTTGTCGATTAGGTGGTGTGGACCTATAGTGATTTCTCTGGCTCTTCCTCTTTTGGTAATCTTCGCAGTCTTTTTCAACAAATTGGGCTATGTCCACTATTTCGGCATAAGTCCTTAGTTTTAAGACTGATATTCTGTTTCTAATGGCTAGTTTGAGGCCCCTTTCAAATTTTTTTATCTTTCTTGCTTTGTTGTTGACCATATGTGGAGTGAACTTGGCCAATTCAGTATACTTGGCCTCGTACTTTGCCACTATCTTGCTTCCTTGAACTAATTCCAAAAATTCCATATATTTTTTGTCTTAAATAAAATCTGAAAAGTACTTTTTATGAAATGTCTCTAGATATACCTCCCAAGTCAAGGGTTTATTTTTTTGGACCAATACTCCTTTTGCTATTTGCCACCAATGTTGCGCTTCATCTTCTAACATAAAAACTGCCAAGGCGACCTTATTAACATCAGGACATTCTATTACCTCGAATATTTTATCCAATTGCATAATCCATCCCTCGGCTTCTAGTGGGTATACAACACCCTTAAAAGAAGGTGGGTTCAATTTCTTAAATTGTTCGATATTACACCCACCATTTCCTGTAGTTGACTGCTTGGGTGGATTGTTGTTCTCCATCTGATGTTGCGTTAGGGTAACCATATTTTTCAAGGCTTTATGAATTCCTTCCATATTAGCTTCAGCCATTCTCGATCTTGATCTCATACCGGTCTGTACATACAATAAATATGACTTAAAGTACATTTTTTTCAAATTTCATAAGAATCTTAAACCTATTGCTCTGATACCATAATTGTTGCACCCCAAGATTTATAACATTCCTGATGCGCGACAGACTATTCTTATACTAGAAAAAATTCAAATTCATATTAATATATATCGTAACAAAACAAATTTTTGTATTAATTCAAAGGATTTCACAAAATACCCTACTGACGTCCTAAGTAAGTCACCTATATACCCCACCAGCGTCCTCATGGGTGTAAACAATCCTTGCAGGTCCAAATATACCTCACTGGTGTACCGGATGAGTCCAAATAGCCCTACTGGATAGGTCTAAACAATCCCTGCAGGTCCAAACATACCTCACCGACGTCCCGAATGAGTCCAAATAGTCCCTACCCGCGTAACCGGATAGGTCCTAACAATCCCTGCAGGTCCGATCCTATCTCATTGGCATCCCGAATGAGTCCAAATAGTCTCTACCGACATAGCCGGATAGGTCCTAACGATCACTGCAGGTCCACTTATACTCAAATTATCTCTGAAACTCTTTAAATATCATAAAGCAGCAATATCATACATACAAAGTGTCATTGAAGTCATTAACATGAATTCACTTAAAGCAATTTAATAACAATCACTTTCATTGAAATATCTGTAAGTAGCCAGTTAAACATTTTGTGCAATAATTTTTGAAAGGTAGTAGTTTTGAAAGACATTCTTGAAATCTAACACGATAACAGTTTAGTATCAACAGACGAACTTTTATAAGAATCCAAAATTAAATACGGAATTATTACAATTTATGGAATTGCCAATTTGTAAATAATCATTTCATAGGCAATACTACAATTAAGTGCAGAAATATCAGTTGTTTTCAAATAATGCAGTTGTCATTTGCATATGAATTTTACAATGTCTAAATATTCAAAATAGTAGGAGGAAATTTCACAATTTTACTAAAAGCAGAAATATCATATTTATTTCTAATAATTTATAGTATAAAAAATTCTAAATAATAGACAGGAAAAATAAATTTATTTCAAAGAATTTATAGCATTTAAAATTCCTAATAATAGATAAAATAATCATTTCACTTTATAAAAAAACGGATTATTCTTCAAGACAATAAAATCACTTACCTATAATATTTGAGAGAGAACTTTCGATAAAATTCGGCTAGAGAGAAAAGAAATTCACGGCGTTTGAAAGAGGGAGAGCGAAAAAAGAAATTTTATAGGGCGAGAGTCCTTACCTTCTTTCTATTTAACTCCTTAAAATTTATTATTATATTACTTTATTAAACTCCACCTCCTACGTGTAGTACTAACGATAAGTGTGTAATGTTTAAAACCCACCGGTCCACCGAAGGACGTGGCAATTGAAAGAAAAGGTAAAGGGTAAAGAGTCATGAGAGTAATGATGGTCCCTAAGGATCATAATGTCTATATGGACCATCATACTATAAAGAGCTCTTTGTTTTTTTTTTTTTTCGTTCTAAAAATTAAGGTTGTTATAGTTATAGCTCGCATGAAATTTTTTTCCAATAAGCAAATCCTCACCTCATAACTCTTTAATAATTGCAAGTCAATCATTGGAACAAACCTTTACATCAATCATCTCCACTTGAATATTATGGTTGTGAAAAAAAATTAAGATTTCAAGCTCCAAAAATAATATATATTGTAAGCATATCTCATGAACAACTAGAAATAACAAATTTCTTCCAACATCTCATTTTAATCTCAATGACTTCTTATTTAGGTTCTCGTGCCATGTATATAAACTAAGATCATTCTGAAACTCGAAAACGTTATGGTTTTCTTGATTCAGGTTTGAAAGAAGGGTAAGCTTTTAGCCAACCCAAACCTCGATAGATTGCGCTTTTTTGGGCTCATGTTCTCAATGCTTCTAAGAGTTGGCCACTCCTTAATAGAGCAGAATCGTGGATCAGAATTCTTATAGCCAACTCTTTCAAGCCCTCCCATTTCATGGTCCCAATTAAGTGTGCTAAGCACTCCCATGTCATGTTCCCATGCTTCTAAGGGCTTCAATGTCAATGAGTTTGATATCATGATGATTAAGTACATATGCATTTGCAACGATATACAATAACCTTTACTTTGATGCAAATTATCACTTAAATGGTAGAATTATAATACAAAATCATGTTCAAATCGTTCCATTTCCATGTCAGAGTGCTTTATTTTTAAGTTTCAATTTACTCGTATACCTCTTCAAGCAATATATTAAAAACTATCAAAACTTTAAAAAACATTTCTATAATGTTCCCTCAAAGTTGAATGATGAGAACCTTGGTTATTTAAAGTTAACAACACATAACTGTAAATTTATGATAGTAGCCTAACTGTTTAAAGTTAGCAACCAATAACTCAAAATTTTCATTGTATTATACCCTTGGTGTTCCTTGTTACTAAAAAATTACACTCATTTGGATAGGCAATGATAAAATTACCAAAGTTTTTTAGGATCTTAATCCAAAATCGAAGCAATGCAGTTATTTATATTTTTTAAGGAAATTATAAAAAATATACTTTAATTTTTAGCTTATTAGAAAAAAAGACTATACTTTTCTAAACCTTTTCCATATTTTTTTTTTCAGTTTTTGTATTTCTTTGACTAAAATAGCATTCACGGTAGACTCAATACCTTGATGGTCTTAATGTTTTAAGGCATTGCAGAATTTAAAATGTCGTGATGGCCATGAGAAGCATCACTACACTTAAAGTACCATTATGATTTGAAAAAATGTATAAATAAATGGCTACAATCATTTTCTTAAGAAATTTTGCTGACAATTGAATTTTCTTTCATCTTGCATATTAAATATTATATTTCTATTATTTTGTATCAAAGGAAGGCTGCATACGACTGAGGGGTATTCTTGATATGATGCTATCCCATTATTGGCTGTAGCCCTTTGCATACACATTTTCTCAAAGCATAACAAATATCTCTCATGGCTATTAGGGCATTTTATATTTTATGGTCATTATGACGTTTTAAGTGTCGCGGTGCCTCTTAACATTAAGACCATCATGGTATTGAGTCTATCGTGATAATTTCACAATCATATGATTATTGTAAAGACTATTTTGATAAAAAAAATGCAAAACTTAAAAAAAAAAAAAAAAGAAAAAGAAAAAAGAAAAAAGAAAAGGAGCATGGTCGAGGTTTAAGAAAATATGGAGTTTTTTTTTCTTCTAATAAGCTAAAAATTAAGATATATATTGATAATTTTCGTTTTTTAAGAAGGTACTTAAATGAAATCAAGTTCAAATAATCGTGCTAATGTCAAAAAGAATGTTACTTGATGATTTGAACACCTTACCACCGGATAATTGTTAGATAGCACTGAAATAAAACATTTGCCGCAAGGGCGGGAAAACATTTCTTTTGAACAGAGAGAGAGGGAGAGCTAAGCAAAATACCCTTTTTCCCAACAAACTCCATTTGATCCATAATTCACCAAACTAGGGTTTTTCAGGTCTTGGATTCATAAAAAATAAGGGTTTCCTAAGGTTTTGAGGATGGAGAAGATTTGTGTTATGGTGAGGGTGAGGCCTCTGGATCCATCAGAAGATCCCAAAGAGTGTCCGTGGACGATCTCTGGCAATTCCATCTCCCTTCGAAATCAAACTACGAAGTTCGAGTTCGGTATGTTTCTCTCTTTTCCAGAACTGGTCTCTCTCTATGTCGTTCATTTCTCTCTCTAAGTAACACTTTTGCTTGGACACCAACCAAGTTCGAATTGCTGTGTTTTTCATTCCCATTTTTGGTGTGTCTCTCTCTCTCCGGATTCGTTATCCTCTTTCCTTTGTTAATTTCTCTATGTTAGTAGCTTTGTTGCTCTGGGGCAAATTCATTGTGTTCCAATTGCTACGTTATTGGCCCTAAATGGGACCATCTATCGCTCTTTCTGAAAACATTTGTCCCTCTCTCTATCTCTCTTCTAATTTTCAGATAGGGTATTTGGTGAGGAATGCAAGAATGTTGATATCTACAAAGCTAGAACCAAAGATATTGTTGCTGCGTCTGTGCGTGGCTTCAATGGTACGTATGGATTGCAGGCTTTATTTGTCCTGGAATTTTTCATTTGGTGAATTCAAGTGTTTCATTCCTTAAGTACAATGAGTATTGTTGGTTTTGTTATAGTGGGAGATGTAAATTCATGACTAAACAAATGGCCTTTTCTTAATGCCTAGTTGAGAAAAACCATTCACATTTCATTTTGAAAAGTATCTTCAGTATTGGCTGTGTTTCCCTAATGGGCGTTGACATACATGGGTTTGGGCTGCCAGTTTATTCATAGGATGGAACGTTCACAGGGTTTTATTGATCAATCCTACTCTCTGGTGCTGTTTACTTTTGTAATTTTATTTTGTCTCATGGATGCCAGTTCTGTGTTTTCAGAAAGGTAATCGTGTGATTGTATTTTCTAGTAGGTTATTTTGTAGTTCTATATTGTACAGAGAAATTATGCTGTTTGGCTTCATAATACCCCATGCACTATAAATTACTCATTTCACCATGATAGGGCATATGGCTCTTTTTTTCTTTCGAAACATAAAGTTATCATCATTTCACACAAGCTACTACAATCTCGAGACATTAGAGAGCCTTGTGAAACAATTTAAGTGATCCTTTCAACATCAACCTCGATATTGCCAAGCAAAACTTGTGATAAAACAACCAGCATCACTAACACACACAAACTCAGGGATCACTCTCCTCTGTCAATTCTCTTTTACAATAAGCAAGTGAAGCTGCCCCACACTTTTCCTTTGGATTGGTACACTCTGAAACCTATAATTAAAGATGTAGATATAGGTGTTATCTTTGGACTGTCTTAAGTTGGCTGAATTTATTGAGCTTTCATGTTGAAGAGCATGTCAATGAGTTATGTTAACTTTTGAAATGAAAACATGTCGTTGAGCACCGCCGCACTATCGTTATGCATTGTTTTCTATGCTGAAATTATTTTCTGTTTAGACTTGAAAAAGCACACTGCTTTTGATGAAACTTAAATATTGTGATTTGAGCAAAGTGATTTTCTGAAACTGTGTTATGGTTTTTGTGGCATTATCATTTGAAGGATTCACGATTGAGCGAAAAATGAGTTGATCTTATTCCCCTTTATATAAATAGATTGCCTACAAAAGAATGATTCAAATCAAATTTAAAAATCTGAACTTCTGGGAATAATTTCTGTTGCACTAGGAGTGACACAGATGCATTTCTTTTTCTCCATATACTCTTTAATGGGAACTACCTATTTTCTCTTATGCATTGTCTGTAGGCACTGTTTTTGCTTATGGACAAACTGGTAGTGGAAAGACTCACACTATGCGCGGAACAACTGCTGAACCTGGTGTTATTCCTCTTGCTGTTCGCGATTTATTTCGTTTTGTAGAGGAGGTATCATGTAATGCTGACTTATTATAAGATAATGGCACATATGCTTTTTGGGGTTGTTCTTGAATGATACACTGACCCAGACTTTTTCAATTGCTTCTGGAGTATTATGTTTTCTTAACCACCTATGAGTATGTCATTCATATTCTTAAGAAGAAAATTGAAGGGAAATGTTACCATAAACCAATGGACTAGGAAAAAACCATACTCCATCGGGTCATCACTGTTCAATGAATTTGGGAACAGTGATGGAGCAAGTGTGGGTTTTACTGGGGCATGGAATGAACCCAAAGGTGAGTCCCACTCTTTTTCAAACACTGTTCATTTTAACGAATGGATTGATGATCAATGGATTATGAGTTTCCTGTAGTCTAGGGATTTATAGTTTCCTCTTCATTGCTAATTCAAGGTCTGTTTCACTATCTGAGTCTGTGGGATGCGTAACATGAATACTGTGGTAAAAACGTTATAAGCGAGAGTCGCTTCTTGATTGTTTCTCCAATTAGATTTGAATGAATGTGCTCGACCAAATATGTACTTTTTATGAATTTGCTTTCTTTTGTTGGCTCTCTCCTTATGAGCTTTTGTCGCTCTGTACTTTCATTGATCTATCCAGATAGAGAATAAAAGCTTAGAATGATACGAGCTGCTATTAATTTAATTTGAGCCATGTGAATTCATCACAACAAACAAAGACAAAAATCTAATTTATGTTCTTGGCTGAGTTTAAATATTCAGGATGGGGATAGAGAATTTCTTCTTCGGATGTCATACATGGAAATATACAATGAGGAAATCAATGATTTGTTGGTTCCAGAGCATCGGAAACTTCAAATTCATGAAAGTCTTGAGGTATTGGTTTCCGGTGACTTTGTTGTGTTTGTTTGTAATTGTTATTTTTGTTTCGTATCTCTTGATTGTCTGACATTAATTTTACTTGACATTGGAAAGAGAGGAATATTTGTTGCTGGGTTGAGAGAAGAAATTGTTGCCTCCCCAGAACAGGTTCTCGAGTTTATGGAATTTGGGGAATGTAAGATATCTTTTTTGATTTCCCCTGGATTCATTTCAAGCCAAGCCATATTATTAGGATTTGCCTCACTTTATTTGATTTGCAGCTCATCGTCACATTGGAGAAACAAACATGAACCTTTATAGTAGCAGATCTCATACAATATTTCGTATGGTGAGTTTGTAAGGCATGTCATGTCCTTCTCTAAAGTAAAGCTAAGGAAAACTTGTTACTGTTTTCTCAAGTACAAGTGCTTCTGTTGTAGATAATAGAAAGCAGAGATAGGACCGAAGATGGCGATGTTGGTAGTCTGTGTGACGCTGTCCGTGTGTCTGTTCTTGTATGTAACAATAATTGTGGTTGTGTCTGGATGGATTCTAGTTTGATCTGTTTTAGTCTTTCTGGATTTTTCACTGACTTTTCTCTTCAAAATTTGTAACTCTTTATTGCTAGAATTTAGTGGACTTAGCTGGATCGGAACGGGTTGCAAAGACTGGCGCAGAAGGCGTGCGCTTAAAGGAGGGTTCTCACATAAATAGAAGCCTTATGACTCTTGGAACTGTCATCAATAAGCTCAGTGAAGGCACTGAGAGCCAAGGGTGAGTTTTTCATTTTGAGGGAAATTAATATGAAACTTTTTAGTGAATTAATCAACTCTAATTCAACTCCATGAATTTTTTGTTTTGTTCATTGCTTTTTGATGTAGGGGCCATGTCCCTTACCGTGACAGCAAGCTTACCCGCATTTTGCAACCAGCACTGGGTGGAAATGCAAATACTGTTGTTGTTTGTAATATCACCCTTGCTCAGGTGTGCCTCTGAATTTTGTTCAGTGTTCCAAAAGTAGTTGTCCAAGATAATGGTTGAGGTTTTTATTTAGGATTTGAGCGACATTGTTGTGCTTTCTTTTTTGATCTTTTGTTATAGTTAGCTATTTGATTGCCAAATTTTCCATCCACATGCTTAGCATATGCCATTCAATTCTGGTGAAAAGATGCATGCAAATCTCATTCTATATATTGTTATAAGGGGGCCTCAGCTATAAATCTTTATTTGTTATGACCACTGACCACTCTTAGCATGGGATGATGTTTGCATCCATTGCTGGTTCTTCTTGCCAATGGCATAGAACTGTCAATTCTACATGCAAATAAGGTAAAACACTTGCAATAGCTATTGTTAAAATAATTGATATATTTGTGTGCAACTGTTACATTTTACATATTTTTTAACTTCATGAAAGCTGTGAGTACTCTTTCTTTCCCCTTTTAATTTTCACTAGTCTAGCGGGATTTTGTTTTTCCCTTTCCATCGGCAATACTAGGCAAAAGGCTTTATGGATATGTGCATGTTATGTTGTATAAGATGGTTTGTTCATTTACTGCATTGTTGATGGCAAGGACTTCATGTGCAAGCATATTAAAGTTGAATTCTTTTTCTCTATTGTATTCACTGTAAGAATTTTTAGTCTTCTTTTTCTCGCTTCTCTAGTTATCTAGATTCTTTTATTTTCTCTTATTCCATTTCTAATTTTTGTGAGACACATTTTCCTGTTAACATGGTTATAGTGTTCTATTCCTTGATCTGCTTGATGGTTTGAGATTCCCTTGCTAACTAATGGTTTACTACTTCATGATTTTTGTATGAGCAGATCCATGCAGATGAAACAAAAGGCAGTCTCCAATTTGCAAGCAGAGCATTGCGTGTCATAAACTGTGCACATGTGAATGAGGTTTTCCTCTAGCCAAGCTTGCATCCTTAGCTCATCCTTACATTTATATACCAATAGGCTATGGAACACCATGTTCCACTATGTTTACTATGGTAAAATAGAATTACGGATAGTGATGGACAGAGAAGAAGAACCACCAGAACAAAACATGCCTCCAGTGATCTGAATTTCTCTTTGTCACTGTCCCATTTCACTGGATGATGATGGTTCCAATAAACTATGGGTTTTTCATAGTCCATTGGAGTAGAGTATATTTTCTACTCCATTTTGCAGCTGTTGTTTTTTCATTTATTTGTTGCCATTCCTTCCATTTGCTCTTTCAACATCTTGAGATTATATGAAATTGAATGTGAGTTTTTACTGCATCTTTCCTCAGATTCTAACGGATGCAGCAGTATTAAAGCGCCAAAAGAAAGAGATTGAAGAGCTCCGAGCAAAATTGCAGGTTTAGCTTATTTATCTGCTAGTCTCAGTGATATGGCTTCTATATATCAAGCTGCATCCTTACATCAAACAAGTTCTATGCAATTTTGGTTTATGTATAGGGTGGTTCGAATTCAGAGCATTTTGCAGAAGAAATCCTGAGTTTGAGAAATACTCTATTACAGGTATAAAGTCAAACTCATACTTGTTTAAGAGACATCTTTGTTCTTGGAAATCAACCTTAGGTTGTTAGATTTGGGGGGTCTCTGTGTATGTAATATAAGATGCTATATTTTTCAGAGTGAACTTGAGAGGGAGAGGATAGCTTTGGAGTTGCAGGAGGAGAAGAAAGCGCAAGCCCAGCGAGACAGGAGGTTACAGGAACAGGAAAAGAGAATAGCAAACTTGAGCACAATTGTTTTAAATTCTGTCCGGGATGAGAGGGACAATTGTATTAAAAAGGTTACGTTTAATCTTGGCAAGCAGCATCTTTAGTCATATGACATCAAGATTTTGAAATGATTTTTTATTTATTTCTTGCACTGTAGATGCCCTTGTCTTTCCAAAAATTAGGTTTTTGTGAATGTTCCACATTATTGATTACTCATATATTGATCTATTCTCAAGTAGATGTAAATATCCAATCATGGTTGTGCTCATGGAGCAAGTTATCCTCCTTATTGCCTATATACATACATATTAAAATTTTGCTTTTGTTTTGTGTAGAATAAAAGGAGGGAGACATGGTGCCCCAGTGCCCTTTCCAGCCAATCTCTAGGAAGGGTCAGTTGGCCTTTTTTCTGAGCTATATTATTTGAAAGATCATCATTGTCCTGAACATCTGTGTCGAATATGTATGTTTGCGTGTGTGCATGCACACACGCATGTGCATGCATGTACGCATGGGCATGTGTGCATGTGCAAGTGTGTGTAATAAATAATAAAGTCTATAGATTTTTCTTTTTATATGTAGAATCTTCTTGGGAAAATTTCAGAAATATCCATTAAACCCCAATTTTTTTGAAACCCACATTCATACTCATTTTTTTACTGTTCATCTTTTGTTACTTAAAATGCCCTTCACGGCTCTAATACAGCCATGAAGGTCATTGCGGTCCTATCAAGACTGTGATGCTAATAACTCCCATGATATAACTGTTGTAAGCGTGAGGAGTAAGTACTTAATTATCACGGTTCTATTAGAACTGAGATGTACTTCTTTGAAGCTCTAAATGATGATCTAACTTAAAAGATGAAGATGCAACTTAAAAGCATCATGGTTCTAATAGAACATGATGCCTTTAAGTTGTTAACCATCATGGTTCTATTAGAACCGTGATGAATTGGGAAGTTCTAAATCTAACTTAAACCATTGTAATGTTTCCTTCCTAGATGAGGGTGGGTTGAGGGTTCCCAAGCATCACCATCTTGATAGGACCGCGATAACCTTCATAGCTGTATTTAATCATGAAGGGTATTTTAGGTAAAAAATATGAAACTATCAACAGTAAAAGAAAAGGATATGAATGAGATTTTAAAAAAAATGTTTTTTCAGAATTTTTTGAAAAAAGGGATATTTTTGATAGTTTCCCATCTTTTTTGTTGCGTTGTAAACTGAGAGGGAAATTCACCATAGACTAGACACAGAGGTCAAAGGTAGCCAACATAACAACCTTAAATCAGAAACAATATGTTTCTTCCACAGTCCTCTGTTTCCTCAACTATCTGATCCGACAACTTATTATTTGTTCAAATACATAGGTTATGTACATAGATGAATACTTTATATCATCATGAGAAATATAGTCCAAACTTACATCTGTAAATAGCATGCACATTATTTATTTGAAGGGCAGAATTAGTTCTCTAGTGATAGTGGAAGGGAAAGGTCATAGCCTTATATAGTTAGGCTCCAAAGTTGTGGGGAGAGACTCTTACGCACTTTATTGTTTTCATAGGACTCCGATACATCCTTGAAGGCTATCATGGAGGATCCCCTTGATGAGAAGATATTGCACTCTTTTGAAGAACTCGTGGATGAAATTGAAGATAGGAAGAATGTTCTTCGTAATGCTACATGTGGGCCCGTGAGTAAGGCCAATGGTGATCCATTGGATGGTTGCACTCTTCCTGATCAAAATGCTCTATGTCATGTTACAAGTAGGAAAAAGCGATCCTCTCAAAAGCTAGACTCACCCATGGTTTGTGTTTGATTATTTTCTCCTTTTTGGGTATTATGCACATAAACAGAATGACACAGATACCTAAAATTTATAGAAAACTATATATATGTTCTGATATGTAGTGTAGTATGTTTACAGGAAAATAGGAACTTGGAAACGATACAGGAAAATGATGATGAATTGCTTCTGGAATTAGAAAATCAGGTTCTTGTTTTGGCTTATTTATGAAGAGAATTAGTCTTACAGTTCTTTATTTTCTCATTCCTTTGTGTTGTGCTTTCTTCTCAGAGAACAAGAAAGGATTTTACAATGGAGAATCTGACAAAAAGATTAACAGATCCAGAAACAAATTCTGTTGTTCCTGGTCTAGGTGCAAAAAGCTTGACCGCAAGGGAATCAGAAGCGATTTTGGTGATCAAGCAACTCCAGGATCAGGTATTTATTGCAAGTGAAAGGGAATTTACTCCTTTTATGGCTTGTATATTTCTTAAACAGATGATTGGTCTTCAATCCAGATAACAATATTGGAATTAGAAAAAACTTCGATGCAAAGGAACCTTGATGGGCTTGTGGAATTAGCCACAGAACAGACTTCTAATGCAAGAGAACAGTATGATGAGGTACTCTTGGCTGTGATGTGATTTTTTTTTTTTTCTAAATATAGTGTGGATGCCAATAGTTCGTTGTTGTTGGACTGGTAACTTATAATATATTACTATGGAGATACGGAGGTTACCTTTTATATCTTTTAGAAGTCAAGGATGAAGAATTGCTTTATTTAATCTTAAATATCTAACATTAGTTCCTTGTACATCGATCTCTACTTTTCTACTAGAGTTGTAATTTTTCTGCAAAAATGATTTTATGGTTTTCTTTTAATCCTCTTGTTAGTGGATCTTCAGTTTATCCTTATGTGCAAATTACAGTCATAATGTTTCTGCCACAGTGAGATTATGATTTTCTTTTATTTTAGATCTACTGTGACTGGATTCCTAATATTTTTTTACGTTGATCTTAGAACCTTAAAGCTGAGTTGTACTTTGTCTTGGCATTTCCTTTACATTCAAAATTCTAGTAACTGGGTACTCTTTTTCTTTCTCAGCTTCTCTTTACTGTTTTATAAAGATCTTCATTTTGATGCCTTGAGGTCTCAACTAGTGTTTTTCTCTCTCCTTTGATTGATGAACAATTTTAAAGAAAAATAATGTCATTGAACTAGTTTAATGGTCCTTCATAATTGAGTTCAATAATCTCATGAGGTCTTGTATGTGTTATTGACTTAGTTAATTTTCACAATTTGGTTACCTTAGTTAATTTTCACAATTTGGTTACCTTTTTTTTTATACATTGAATGCTTGTAGCTGTGTTTTTGCTTCTTTATGTCATCCTTTTGAAGCTAATTCTATTTTTTTAATACATGACATCATAAGCCTAGAATGTCGTTTCACATTGACTTAAAATTTTGTAGATTAGTGTTTGAGTACTATGTTTATATTCTTTTGTTTCTAGGTCTATCGAGAACTTGTTGATGCGCATGATGAGGTTGAAAGGGCTCGACAACAGCTTCCGTCAACTGCTCTACCAGTTGTAACAGTTAAGTTTTGCATTTTTTTGATGATCTATGTTGATATTGAATGAATTCTTTCGGCTTGATTTTACTGCTAGATATCTTCAATTCATCCCATTATTTTATTCCTAGATTACTATTCTACTGCAATATCTTGTTTGTTTATAAATTAATGCATTATCCCCCCTTAACAGTTTCGGGTCTCTGTTTCCTTTGTCTTTCAGGAGGATGAATGCAACCAAGAAGCTGAACTTTGCAAAGAAACAGAAGGAATCATATCTGAATTTCAACATATGGGGAGCACCATCTCTAGTGCTTTTTCCTTGATGGATGATGTTCTTCAGACTGTTCCTACTGTTTTGAACATTTTCTCGGTGACTTAACTTTCATAACAGCTTTGATCTTTTATTTAATAGATCTTATTCCTAAGCACTTTATGTTGCTTATTTGTTGCATTGTGTCATTCAACTATTTTGGTGTAAACAGTGTCACTTGAATGCTTTCCAGAACTGAGGCTTTTTCCATTTCCTATTGAAACAAGTCTATAAAATATTGTTTGGTAAGTTTTGTCATTTGTGGTTAAAAATTAGAGCTATGCTCTATCTACTGAACCGTGCCATAGGGTGAAATGAGTGAGTTATTATATGCTGATTATTTTTGTTATCGTCTAGAAAATAGTTTAAACTCTTTTCTTGTCTATTGTTTGGTTTGTTGTCCGTTTTTGGATCTATTTATCATCATCTGATATGTTATTGATATTTGTTTCTTCACGAGATTAAGTCTGGATACCCTTTGAGTGAAAAGAAATGCAAGCGGGAGAAATCAATGTGGTGATGTACTAATAAGAACTTTCAGGACTCTGTTCTTGATTTAATGTGAAAAGAATGACAAAACCTTAGGGTGAGGTACAATTCATCTAAATTGCAATACTTTGCTAAGCGTCGAAAATGTGTTTCCCTTTGATCATGTCTTATAAATAGTCATGAACCATTATGCTTTATTGGTGGGTTGCTTATGACAAATGTATTTTCCCATGCATATTAAGGAGAAACATTTATCCACCATTCCCTGAATCATTGCCACACGTCTCCTCGCAACTTACAAATGCAGTTTACCAGGCAGCTCCTAGATGATTACAAAATATCTTTTTTTTTTGTTCTTATATGAGTCTGTTTTTTGGGGCAGAGATTCATGTCCGATATTGTTTCCTAAAATCATATTCCCTTCCAGCAGGTGGCACATTTTTGTCATTCTGACTCTTCTTTAATATTTGAATACATGACAAGCGGCTGTCATGAACCTTACTTTTGTAAAAGGTCTCCTGAGACATTTGAAATTCCTTGATTTGGCAACATTATAGCCCCATCTCTTTTTGTTGTGGTTTTTTTTGGATAAAAATAACACCAGATTTATGCATGTCCTTCGGATATTGTAATTGCTGGATGCTTTTTGCATGCTTCTCCCAATTTAATTTTACATTGTTGTTGCCATTTGTAGGACCTCAAGTCATCCGCATATCAAAGTATTCTGGATCTCAAGGGGAGACATGGTGACCATGAGGGCATGTTTAAATCATTGACAACTAAAATTGAAGAGCTTGAGGAAGAAAAGGTGAATTTTGGAATCTCCTCAGATTCTCTATGAAGTAAATCTTAGATTTTCTATCCATTCTAATGTTCAGATTTCTTTATTCATTTGATACAGTACGTACTGCATAATAAGTCTATTAGTCAACAAAAGAAAATTGAGGAACGAGAATTAAAACTTCAAAGCTCGGAAAATGCTCTAATGGTAAGTTATGATCTTAATTTGACAGTCTTCTATTGCGAATGGCAATTCTATTTTCATTGTGTCTAATTTTGTTATGTATGTGGTTGGAGTGGTGTCAGGAGCGAGTTTCAGAGAAAGATGAATTTCTGACTCAAATTTCTAGGCTAGAGAAAGAAATAGCTAGCCTGTCTTCTTCTTATTTGGTCAGGGACAAAGAGGCTCTCAGAAAAGACTTTGAAAAAACAAAAATGAAGTTGAAGGATACTGATGCCAAGTTAAAGAACAGTATACAGGAACGAAGTAAACTCGAGGTGATCTTGCATTTCTTAGGCTGTTTGTTTCTTGTTCTTGCTATCTGTTTTTGAGTCACTTTTTATTTACTATTTATTCTTGCTAACTGGCTTCATATATTTGCAGGCTGAAAAAGCTAACATGGAAAGGGAGCTAAAGCATTTGTATAATCAGAGGAATCTCCTGGACCGTGATATTTCCAAGCGTGAGTCCCTTGCTGATAGGAGGAGGGAATCAAAGACATTTGAGATGAGTAAGGGAAAAAATCAAGTTGGCCAGATTGAGCAAGCCTTGCAGTTGAAAAACATGGAACTTGAAAGAATGAGTTTTGATTTAGAAATCCTTGAAGTACGTATTATGTTATTTTCAGTACTTTTCATGTTAGGTTGATATTAAGTGGGTGCACGTACGGGTTATTTTTTATGTCTGTTGATCAAAGTGCTACGTTACTTTTCCAGTGTGGGTTACTACCAATTCACTTGGGAATGTTTCTCGAGACTTAACAATTTTGCATTTATTATTATTTCTAAATATTTGGTGAGTCAGTATACACCACATTATCTCTTTCTGTTGTTTTTGATATGGATACTGTTCCTGGGTAGAATTTGCTGGATATTTTGTTTTAAGTTTCTATCTTGTAAATATTTGCTTAATTCTGCTGGTATCAGTGGGGAAAGAATGTTGTTTCTTTGTGTCTGATTTGGCTGAGATGCAGCATGGTGGCTAAAACTTGTTCCACGACTGCATTTTTTGAAATCTTGTTGGGTTTCAATTGATGATTAGTTGGCTCAGTCCTTGGCAAAATAGCCTCAATGCTAGGATGTGTTTCTGCATGGTGAAATTTTTTATACTTTGAACCGGTTGAAGGAAATGATTGTAAGATCACGTTGGTTTTTAACAAACTTTATGAAAGTTGAGGACATGCTTCTGTGTTATAAAGTTTCTAGAGCTATTTTTGCGTATGTTGGTGACGGTGTTCAAAAAATCAAACCGGCCTAACTGGGCAGTTCCTGACCGGTCCAAAAAGTGTTAAAAAAAAACAAAACAAATCCAAAAAAATATGAGAAGTATATTTAAAGTATGATTAAACAAAACACATGCAAATGAAGTTGAAAAGTAGTGAAAAAAAATGGATTTTTAAAAAGTCAATTTGCGCCCGGGGGTATTTTCCAATTTTTTCAGAAAAGATGCAAAAATGGAAAAATAAGTATTCATGGCCAAACAACTTTCCAATCTTTGCCAAAATAATAAAAAACATTAAAAAACATTAAAAAACACATTACAAACAAATCCCGTAATTTTTGGATTTTATATATATTTTTATTTTTTAAGATACCCAGTTGGACCACCAAAACTAGCCGAAACCGGATCAGCCAGTGCCCGGTTCCAGTTCGACTGGTGGTTCTGAGTTGGACCAGCCGATTTTGCGAACACTGGTTAGTAAACACTGCTGACTATGGGTATTGAATTTCTTATATCACTGTTATGACCTATTAGTTAATTGCTTTTTATTTTGCATAGTTTGTTTGTTTGGTCATTGTTTAAAGATCTAGGAACTGAACATCAAGAGCCATTTAATGGAAGAAACCATTTGTATGAGGGAGGTTAAAGTCTTGGAAGTTCATATAAAGCCGCTTATAAACACTCACATTTTGTGTGTGTGTGTGTGTGTGTGTCTATGTTCTGATTGTTGCCACAAGTCCAGATTGAAAAGATTCCCATACCACACTTTGGATTTCTATTGTATTATTGGATGTGATTTTTCAAGTAATATTAATACTATTCTATTTTGAAAGCATTCATTTTACGAGTTCTTTTGGTTCATTTAGTTTTAAATGGTAAGAAGTCTTCGTTTTTTTTTTTTGAAAATATCAAAAAAGTGTTGAAACCCCTTACAATATCACTGAAGGGGTCAAAAGATTAAAAATTACACTAGAGGGTTTGCTTTTACATTTCTATATCAAATAGGTATGCCCTAAAAAAAAAAGTTGAAATATTTCCAAATTGACCTTGCTCGGTTTTGGGAATCCAGAACAATTAGGGGTACTTTGCTAATTCTACTCTCAAAGAGGCCTTAAACGGATAATAATTGGGGGTAAAATTATGAAAGTACCCCTTATTGTTTTGGTTTTTCAGCACCAAATTTGGGCTATTTGGAAAATTTTAATTTTTTTTTGTGAGAATATATCTGATTGATATAGAAATTTAAAAGCATACCCTCAATTGTAATTTGTAATTTGTAATTTTTTAAACCCTTTAATGATATTGTAAAGGGTTCCTACCCCTTTTTTGATATTTTCCCCTTTTTTTTAATGACCTCCTGCAAGGCTAGTTCAATGCTCTTTGACATAGTTTTTTTTGGGCAGTTATGCAAAACTTTCATGTTTTGTTGTTTGGTTTTCTCATTTCTTGCTCAATTAGTTCTCGCATCATATATTTATTTTTTCAACAGTATGATTTCTTGAGTTAGCCAGAAAAGGTCTAAACTCTAATATGGGTGGCAATGGGCTGGGGCCACAGGATGTGGCCCGAGGGCTGCACTAGGGCCGGACCACCACGGCCCGAGGTTTGGGTTGGGCCGCTCTCTGGCCAGGGCCATGACAAGGTCGAGCAAATGGGTTACGCCGGTTCAGTCCGGTCTGGCCCTTTCTTCCTTACTTTTTTCTCTTTATTTTGTTTTGATTATATTGGGCATTCCCTAACAGGGCTAGGGCCAGGCTGGGCTAGGGCCAAGGCTGGTCGGCCTGGTCTGTTGATATGCAAATTGCATTTGGTCTCCGGAGTCATTCCTTTATGCTGAGATCTATTATGCTTTTTTGGCAGGGGGAACGTAGCAAGTTGGAAACCCATACATTTGAGTTGGAGGAGAGGATTGCTTCTTTGGAAGGAGAACTCTTTGTTGCAAATGAAGAAAAAGAAGCAGTATTACTCCAAAATGCTGAGCAAGCTTCTGAATTGGAGGCTACCATAGGCAAGCTAAAAATGGCAAATTCACAATTGAACGCATTACAAGAAGAAATTCAATCCGTGGTATGTTGATGCTGTTGATATTCAGAGCGATACACTGGGATTGTCATGATCGTGGATTAGGCAGTTGGTTTCCTATTGTGCCTTCACTTTGGCGATCAGTGGAAGTCTTGCTTATTCCACTTAATCCCTTTCTTATTTGGTTTGCAGATGAAGAAGTTGGGGGAATCTGAGGAATGTTATAGAAAGATGGAAAGCTCAATCACTACTTTGTCCACAGAAAAAGAAGAAATGGCACTAGTATGTCAACTGCTAATGTTGCAAGAAATGTTGATTTATATTTCACTCTCATACTTAAATTAAGATCGACTGTATCTTTTCTGAAGTTTTGTTGTCATGCTGTATGATACAGCAACTTACAGATGCTTTAGTGAAAATTGAGGAAGAAAGAGCAATTTGGTTGGCCAATGAGAGAGTTTTTATTGACTCTATCACAGAAAACTCTAAACACATGGATGCGAAGATCGCCTTATTATTAAAAGAGATTCTGGAGGTATTTGTGCAATTTGAATGCTGGCCTTTTTTGTGGCCAATATTAGCTAGTGCATATACATTTATTTTACTACAAGACAAGTATCATTTTCTTTTGGTTTTTATTGTAAACTCGACAATATTAAATCTTTTCAGAATCCCATTCTTTTAAAATGGTTTGAAGTAAGAAACTGAGTGTTTGTGGCCATTTATACACGGAAGCTCATAGTATATTTTAAGCTCTATCTCATCAGTTGGCAGTTAATTGTTTTCCCATCATTCCTCTTAGACCATTCAAAGACCGTCATTGTAGACTGATAGCATGGATTAACTCTCTTAGTTTGAAAGTTGAGACATAGGTCCCTAAAATTTCTTTTAGTTGTCATAAAACTAAACAGATTTTGGTGTTACAATTGTCTGAAAAACTTATGCATGGGTCTTGTGGAATATCTACATAGTGTCATGATTATCTAGAGAATAAGAAATTGCTAACAGCTTTCTACCTGTGCTTCCTGAAGTAGTTAATTCTAGGAGCATGGCCCATATTTTGTTTATTTTGTGGCAAGATTTAGTTCATCTTTTTATGAAACTTTGTAATGCATTGAAGTTTCTTAAAAGGACGTCACATTTACCTAATGAAGTTTAATAAAAATTTTATGTTGATAGTAGATGTATTGTAAAGATAAACTTTTTTACTTAGATTTCTTTGTTAATTGACAGATGACAAATGAACTGGAGAATTGTAAAGTGGAATGTGAGGCACTGAGAGGAAGATTGTCTGTTGCAGAAGCAAAAATGGATCATGAGAAAAGTTCCAGGTTAGCCTTGGTTTCTTTCATGTTCTATTCGTTTTTCCATTCCAAGAGTATAATACTATTTCTATCCTAAAAATATTCTAAACCTGAATATGGATCCCGGATTGTGTTTTTATCATATCATGTAGATCAGCACTCCACCTAAAGCTGCTAAATTGTGAGTTCGATGCAAATTGTTATTTTCTGTTTTAATTTAACTCACAAAGTGGCAGTGTTTTTTGGTGACCACAACTGAATGGGGGTTTATAGTGGCACCTAAATGTCACACTTTTTACATAATTGACTTGTCATCCAAAGTCAGTCCATCTTTTGATGTGGGGTCCATAAGAGGCGTAAATCATTCCATAGTCAGTTAATCTATTTGGATGAGATTTGAGACCCACCCAAGCCACAAGCTTAATACTCTGAAACTCTTCTTGCTCCAAATTTGAAAAATAAAAATTACTATAAGGAATTAAAAGGAAAAATAAAAATAGAATCTAAGATAAGGTTCATGATAACATGTCATGTCCATCATTGCCTAAAGCTGGATCCTTGGTAATTGAGATGCCTTGTGTTTTATAAGAGAGCACTTTTTGTTTCAGCATGGCTATGTTTTCAGAAGTAGAGCGATTGAGGAATGAACTCTTAGAGGCTGAAACTGCAAGTTCTCGAGAGCAAGATGTAAGTCTTTCCTTGTATTTTCCTTTGTTCCTTCAAGGTATTACAACAGCATTTATTGGCAGCGATATATAGCTATATGAATTGTTAATGTCGGAGAACTTTCAGGGGTTGAAGTCACATTTAAATGCACTAACATCAGAGCATGAGCATGTTTGTCAAGAACTGAGCCAGTTGAAGACTCAGTTAAATGATGCTGAAAGAGACAAAAATATGTCTACTCAAATTAAAGAGCTCACTACAAGACTGGACCTGTCAAATAACTCCAAGGTCTTCTTTCAAGCAAAGCATGTTATAGTCCAACACTTCAATGGACCAAAAAAGGCCATAATAATCCATTAAGTCGCTGCCATTCCTTGATGAATGGTGATGGATAGATTGTGGGACCTAGTAATCCAGTATTAGGATCATGTCTTGCTCTGGGTCCACTCTCTCACTATCATCGTCCATCATTTTAATGGTCAGTGTGAGCCTTTGGAATATGTTTCTGCCATAGTCCACTGGAATATGGTTTGAATTTCCTTAGTTCAATGGTTTGTGCTGTGTAAATCATCGGGCAACAAATTGTCTTGTTTTAATTCCAATATTTTCTTTCTAAAGTTTGCTTCATCAGTGGACTGGATGTGCCTTTGTAAATGGTACAACACCCTATTTGATGGAAGTACATTTTTGTTTTCTAGTTGGATCTGGAGAGGCAACTCACTAATTTAGAACACGAAAGACATAAATTGCTGGCTAGAAATGATGAGCTCAACACAATTTTTTTGGAGATGGAGAAGAAAGTTGCTTCCAGTGATGAGAGCTTAAAACAGAGTGATGATTCCAGGGTAAAGATCTTGTTATATTGTTTCTTGCTTGGACAATATGTGCCAACCCTGAAGGTAAGTGGTTTCTTTGTGTCCATAGTTGATTTGTATATTATGTTTTTTTGGCAGTTAAAGTCTAATTCAGATGCGGAGGCACTAAGTGAACGAGTTTCTACATTGGAAACGGAAATAAGTGATGTAAGTTTCGAGTGTTGGTTGTAGATAGGGCTGCAGTTCAGTTTTCTTTTCCTGATCTTAGGGTGCATGTTGCCTTTATTCCTTGTATGTCTCATCTTTGAAAGGATTTGCACATAAGGAAAGTAATAATCCAATGGGCTATGGAAAAACCGTACGTATTGGGGTCATCAGTATTTCTTCAATGAATTGTTCTGATGAATTTTCACTGTCCTCTATCTATTGCTTTCTGTGATTAATTGATGCAGTCTTCTTAACTATCAAAAATAAAAATTTCACATTGTAATTCACTACTGTCTTCATGTATGCAGATTAAAGTGAACTTCAATAAAGAGAGTACAAAGCTCCGGATGAGGCTGAGAATGACACAGGCAAAGTTGGATGCCTTTCGAGGCAAACATAGAGAGGCAGTTGATGAGTTAGCTATCATGAATCGTAAATATGAAGAAGCATCGAGAAAATTGAAAGATCAGTTGGTCGAGAGCAGGCTTCAGGTCCTAGAACTGAAAAAGCAACTTGTAGCGAAGCAATGAGTTCAAGTAAAAGCACAGGATTGAGGAAATGTAATCCAACTCAGATTTGGGTGTCCCTGTTTATATGGAAAGATTCTTAGACGCGTGAGGGCTAGGGAAAGTGCAACTCCTCTCTTATCATATTTATCTTCTAGTTTGCATGCACTTTCCCTCAATCATGTGTATTTTCTTGTTTGTGTGGTTTAATCGTATTTCTTTAACTTGCCAATTAGAATTTTCTCTTTTACTAGGAGGAATTACAGATTGTAGAACCATTCATCTTTGTTATAAAGAGGACACAATTGCTACTAGCAATTAGATATCAAAGTGGATGGCTTGGGGTGTGTCAGGAGATTGATTTTTTTTTTTGGGGGGGTTTTTTTAGCAACTTCAAGTCTCGTCAATGACATATTACAAGAGTAATTGTGACCTCTTTGCATTAAAAAATAAATAGTCTCTTATATATTTTTCCATAAGCAAATTAGCTGCAGAATTTGCTCTCTTCAATTATATTTTGTGGTTCATTCCAATGTTCGCTTACTCTAATATCTAGGTTTATCTCGCTTGCAGCTACATTGAATTTGCATTTCATTTAGTTTATCTTTCTTTTCCTTCTCTCTTCAGCTCTATGGTCTCTGTGTATATTAAGAAAAATATCCAATAGCTTCAATGGTTCTGTCAACAATATATACTTGTTTGCTCCTTCCCCTTTCTTTCCTCCTTTTTATTTCAATTGAATTAGGATAAACTATATGCATGTCAATATAATTCTAATGGCTTCGAGGCTTCTTTTCATCTCAAGCTGTCGTAACAACATCATACAGCTCTGTGCAATTTCAGTTCTCCACTCTCTGAAGTCTACACTTCTTTCATTTGTTCATAATGAGGGTGTCTGCCATTTTGTTACAATTTTCTATTCACAATACACTTAAATCCAGTTTAGGTTGACCAATTACTAACAAATAAGGCTGGTTTCTCTCCTGTGGTCTATAGTAAATGAGGCTGTTTTTCCCGCATTCAGCTATTCTTTCTCTCCTGTGGTCTATAGTAAATGAGGTTGTTTGACCTGCATTCAGCTATTTATCAGTAAGCTCATTTTTCTCTCCAAAGGGAGTTTTATGTATAGACCGGGTAAACGTACCGAAGTTTTAAGTTTTTCTTTGGTCTATAAGTTCAGTAATTCTACCGAAGGAGTACTACTGCCATATTTATGCTTTTTTTTTTCCTTCTATTTTTTCCGCATTTTCTATGTTTCAAATTTATCTTTTATTTTCTTTTACTTTTTATTTTTTTGACATTTGTGAGGTAGTCGATATCTAAAATATCGAACCACCCTATTTGTAGGCCGGTGTGATAAATGCAACATTGGAGCGCCATCCACTTTTGGCCCATCCTTCTCTATAGGGAGGTTTGATATTACCGCATTTTTCATATTTTTACTTATTTTTTATTTTAGCAGTCTAAGCCTTCAAAGATCAGACTTAAGGAAAAAAAACGTAGTTCAAAAGTGGTTTGATGTTGAAAAGCTCGGACTGCCCCGTAGACAACATTGCATGAAAAATGCAGGGCAGTTCGATGTTGCAATTATAAAAGAGCCGGTTCGATATATTGAATGGTAGACCAACCACAAATATCAAAAAAATTTACAAATAAAGAAATATGCAGGTCAATGTTTAAAACATCATGGCAAAATTGGAAAAACATAATAAACATGGGCGACAAAGACCCCACGGTAAAATTACTAAACTTATGGACCAAAGGGTAAATTTCATAACTTTATCCGGCTTATACATCAAAATCCCTACTTAGATTCACCCGTTCTTAACCAAAAACTGAAAAATAAAAAGTAAAAAATCGTTATATTTACAATTCCCCACAAACACCTAAAACTGGAGTAAAAAAACATGGATGGATTACACATAAAAGATGTCTGGCTAGAAATTCCAAAAGGATTGTATATAATGAGACCATTTATCTTCAATATCAAAATATAAATCTTAAATTGCCTCGTCTGATTTGTTCATTTTCGACAACATTATGGTTTAGTTTAAAGAAAACTTTGCTTTGACTTTCTATAGGATGAATTGGTTTACCAATTAAATTTTTTTGAGAAATCCACTGGTTTATCAGTGAAATTAGATTCTAAATATAATTTCTCATATTCACAATTTAAACTCTTACAGCATTAAATGGAGAGAAACTAAAGTGTGCATTTTCTCTTCAAAATGTCAGCTCCAATATATTAAAGAAAGGAACAAGAAAGAATACTAACTAGAAAACCAAAATGCTTAAATTGAATCACAAATATACTTCATGATGTCGTGTAATTACCTTATTGTAGGGTTGTAAAATAATATGATGTGATTTTTTCTATCTTTTATTAATGAAAAATAGGTAGAAAGCCTTCTCCCTCACTGATTTACCCCAAAAAAAATCATAAAGATACAATATATCTTCTCCTTTCTCTTCTTTTCCATTTAGGAGGTTAACAAGGGGTAACATTTCAAAAGTTAAACAGAGGCATTAGGCCCAAAAATATATGGACATTGTCAAACATCTCATACACCAAAATTAAAGAATTTTGGCACTAAATTAGTTCATAGTAAAAGAAACCTCACAAGAAATAGACTGAGAAAGCTCAAGCCTATTCTGCATAAAGTAAATGCAAGCAATTCAAAAGGCTTGAATAAGTCTTCAAATCCATTAAGCCCTCCTTCTTCTTTAACTCCTTTAAAAGCTCATATACGTGTTTTTCTCTCCCCTCTCTTCTCAATCCCTCCAACACAGTCTTACAAGTGCACCATTGAATTGCCCAACATATCAAAGAGCACCTCAATTGCCTCATCAAACCTTCTCTCCAATTCCAAACTACATATAACAATCATAAATGTACTACTACTAGGAACAAACCCTTCCTCTCTCATCTCTCTAAAAAACTTAAATCTTTGACTCACTCTCCCCTTCTCACAAAGCCCTTTGGCTATAAAACCGTATGTATAGGCATCAGGTTCACAACTATACAAACCCATCTCCTTAAAACCTTAATCGCCTCATCCATTTCGAGACATTTCGAATAAGCATTGATAACCAAATTCAATGTGAAAGTATCAGGCACAATGACTGTAGCTTTCATATGTCTCATGAGGGACCTCACAGTGTGGAGATAAATGCAAGAAGCATTGAGCTTCGTGAACTTCTGCAACATTGAATTGAGTATCATCGTGTAGGTCTGCAGTGTCGGTTTACAATTCGGGTCTCTTTGCACCTTCTTGAAAGCATTGATGGTTTCGCCCAAGAGCTTTCTCTTGCAAAAATAGCTGATAATCGTGTTGTAGAGGGGTGGGCTAGGGCTGCAGGCTCCGAACATGACCTCTGCAATTATGGTTTCTATCCGCTTGAACTGGTTCTCAGAGGTGAGAATACGAAGCATGGTGTAGTAGGTGAGATCGGTATGGCGGTAATGACGTCCATCGGAAGATATCTAGGGCTACGTCAGGATCTGATTGGTTTCTTAGGGCATCGCTTACGTCTTGTGGGGTGAAGCCTGGTTTGAGCTTGTGGATCCATGACTCGAAATGTTTTTCTAGAGGGGTTCTAGATCTAGGGTTTTGGGGTGGAGGATGAGAGGGAGAAGAAGAAGACCAGTAAGATAAACTACTGTTAATGAGCTTGAAATTAAGGCTTCTGAGCTTATTGATTCGAGTGATGATGATGATGCCCAACTGGTGCAACACTCCCATGGAAGTCACAAGTTAGAGAGAGAGATCGAACAAGAAAACAGGAATCGAGTGAATTCAATATTTGTAATTAATCGAAATTTCAGATTCCTTTGCCCCAATAATCAACCAAACGCTCGAACATATGAAAACTTGCCTGGGTGAAGTTTGTATCATAGTTAGAAATCCGCCGGTTATTCAGCGATTTTTTCAAAAAAATCAGTGTTTTTATGTAAAACATTTTAAACTGCGGCTTTTTGAAAACCTCGAGAAAAAATAACATAATTTTCATAAAAATGTTAAAAACACGTTTTTTTATAATATGATTTAAATCAAGCTAAAAAATCGTATCTTTTTTTACCCATACTTATAAATATTTTTTTGTAAATATATATATATATATATATATATAGAAAAAGTTGAGATTAACCCACTAGCTCATATGAGCCTAATGGTTCATATTGAATCTAGACCGATCTAACGATTACGGATATCTGGTAGTGCTTAAATTTTATTTATTTATACTAATAAATTACAAATCACTTAGTAAATTTTAAATTAATTGTTAGTTTTTTTTTAAGGTTTAGTACTTAAATTAAAAATAATTTAAAAAATTAAT